TAGTTAACATCCCATATTCAATACAAAAGGGTCGGTATCTATTACTTAACCCATTATCGAATGCAGGTGGTATTATTTCTGTTTAAAAATAATTCATTTCAGCTCGTGTTATTTCCCATCACTCTTTATTTTTATTTGCTGATTCACTATAGTTGATGCTCTGAGCTTATAACTGGTCATTATGACAAAGCTAAAATCCTGAACTCAACAAACATGATTTTTTAAGGGAAGGAACCTTAGTCTTGTAAACTTGTTTTGTTGACATTAATGGTATTTAGAAAGGGCGTGTTATTATAATGAGCCATTGACAGTCTTCATACAATCCTGGTGCATCGAGGCATAGGTCGTAATTTTCTCAGCAAATTTATTGAATTTCTGTATTTTAAGATCAGGCGTTTACGAGAGATTTTCTCTTTGTTCAATCTAAAGAGCTTATTAGAACTCGTCATTTATTGATTTTGTCGTTAATGAATGCGAGGGAAGATAAAATGACTTATCAATTTGGACTTAAAATTATTTTAGTTTTGTGCGTTCCTGTATTATTTCGAATAATTAGCAGGGCAAAACGGGAATATATTTTGTTCGATATAGTGAAGCGGGTGGTACAGCTTAACAACTACAAACACGATATTCGAAATTCAAAAAAGAGTTTCTCTTATTAATTTCGTCGAATTAGAATAAGAGACTCACAATCCATCAAAGAACGCGACTTATTTTATAATTTCAGATTTATTTCAAGATAAAGTCTAAATTAAGAATTCATGTTTTTGGAAAATGAAAGCGAATTAGGTTAAATTTTTCACCTAGTATTATTTTATGAGTCTAGTTTTTGGTGCAAAGAGCCCAAACATGAAGAAAGCAGTTCATTTCTACTATTAATATTCATCTTGGCTTGAAACCAACAGTTTGTATCGTAACCATACCTACCAGAAAGTAATAAAAGAAAGCACGTTTGGCTCAATAATACTAAAGTTGGGCGCCAAAGAAAGTTGAATATTTGAGGGTATAAAGTGATATATTTAATGCATGGATAACTTGAGTTTGACTTTCATTCCAATTGAATATCCACTCTTAACCTCTTTATTTTTGTGCGGCTGAAAAAAAAAGAAAATGAAAAATACCGAGCTTTCAAATGTGGATATAACAAACTTTTGGCGAAAAAACAGCACGCTATTTGAAATAAACAAGATCCTTTTCCTTAATTTTAGTTTCCTACAAGGGTTTACTTCTGTAGAAATTGTAGTTCCATCATTATCGTAAATAGAGAAAAGTGCCAAATTATAAAAAGTCAATACTGGCGGTTCCAAGCTCGTCACAAATTGTGAAGCTCGGAACGACAAGAAATTCCATAAAGTGATGAGAGAGGTATTAATGCAGTGACGAAGGCCGCTGTTTGGGTTCAATTTACGGTAAAGAAAAATAGAGTTGATAACAAAAATCTTCTTCATTTGAAATATCTAACTTGCCAAAAATTACAGTTGTTTTTTTATGTACTTAGAAAGATTTCCTTTCACAGATTGTTTTGTCCTATCCCTCAACCTAGACCAATATGCAGCTCGTTTGAATTCCGTTCATATTATGACTAAAGTGATTATTTTGAACAAGAAGAACCTCGAAAAATATGGAAGTTGATTTACATGGCTTCCCATCAGAAAGATAAGTCAGGGGAACCAAATGTTGGCCCACATGTCTCTTTAACCTTAGGTCTGCAACAATCTTATCTAACGGAGGAAAACCTGAAAATGTCTTATAATTTAAAGGTTCTTCCAATGAAAGCCTTAGAAGCCAGATCCGATACTGAATGGTTTGGATGAATCCAATCATAAATTACGGTACACCTTTAGCAAACATCAGTTTGCTATTATCTTTGAGATGAAAATGGCGTTTAAAACAACATTCAGGGGTTCTTCTTCGACAATCTTTATTCAATCCTTATGTATCTGACATAGGTCGTAAGTTGCTCAGAAAATTTATGGAATTTTTTGTTGTTAAATATCCACCATCTACGGGAGATTTATTGTTTGTTCAAACTAAAGAGCTTATTAGAACTCGTCATTAATCAATTTTGACGTTAATGAATGTCGGGGAAGATGAAATGGCTAATAACTTAGGACTTCAAATTATTGCGTTCCTGTATTATTTCGAGCAAGTAGGAGGGCCAAACAAGAAAATATTTTGCTCGCTCTAGTGAAGTGTGAGGTACAGCTTAACAACTTCAAACACGATATTCTAAATTCATTTCTCTTATTCATTTCGTCGAATTAGAACAAGAGACTCACAATCTATCCAAGAACGTGGCATATTTTATAATTTCAGACGTATTTCAAGATACAGTCTTAATAAAGAATTCGTGTTTTTGGAAAATGAAAGCTAACTGAGTGTTTTTTTTTTTTAGGTGGATAAGGTTACGCCAGCCTGTCTGCTCCCACACACCGATTACCATTATCCGCAGGATTTCGTGAGAGGGACTTTCGGTACCTAAGATCTATTTTTATTACCATATTTTTGTGAGAATTTTCTTTTCGTCAATTATTGACGCTTCAATTAAACTTGTAAGGAGTTTCCCCTGAGAATGAAACAAAAAAAACAAAACAAAACAAAACGAAACAAAACAAAACAAACACGCAAACGAAGAAACGTTGAATTTATGGGTTGATATTGAAAATTGGGAGTTCTTAGAAACTCAAGGGAACTTGGCTTATTCACCTAATGTTCTTAAGAATATTTTTATGATGTTATTGTCTTAAACGCACTCCATTGACTATAATTATGAAGCAATTGAAGTTAATGTATGGAAATTTGTGTGGTAAAATCCCTTTTTCTAATCTGTTGATGAAGATAGAATCATAGCCCATCAAAACCAAAGTGTTTCTAATTGGCACAAAGGAAGACATTGGAAACGTGTTCATTCGCAAACTTTAAAACGCGTACCCACGTATATTATTTGCAGGGTCAAGACTGACTGCTGTTAATTTTGTTAACATCCCATTTTCAATACCAAGAGGTCGGTTTCTATTACTTAAATTCATTATGAAATGCAGGTAGTCAACACGAAATTTGTGGCACACTGAAACCACCAACACTGAGCTCCGTTGTCTCGAGGAAGCATGGAATTTTCAGCGTTTCAAGTATTCGCAGTCTGGACTTCATCGATGACTTACTTGACGTTTGGTAAAGGTGAGTTACAATATGCGCATCATTTTCCATCTCTATATTCATACTCCAGCCCTTGCTATCTTATTTTCCGTCACTCTTTATTTCTATTTCGCTGATTTACAACAGCTGATGCACTGAGCTTATTAACGTGTCGTTATGACAAAATTAAAAACCTGAATTCAACAAAGATGATTTTTAAAGGAAGGAACCTCAGTCTTGTAAACTTCTTTGGTAGATATTAACAGTATATAACAAAGACGTGTCATTATGATAAACCATATCGGAAGTTTTCACCTGTTACAAACAAAGTAAGAACTGCTACGATGAAGAATTTCTTAATTCAAAACAACTTCCATCCTAACGCTCATCAGCTCATATTTACATGGAAGGGTAATCAATGCTATCAAAAATATTTCGTTGTTGCGTTGCAGACGGGAATTCGATAATTTTCATGGAAAAAAAATTGGCCGCTCTTAGCCAACTAAAGCGAGGTTATTTTTATAGAAGGACAATGCTGGCATTTGGAATAGACCAATTTGTACTGGTTTTAAACATCTGTCTATAAAATTAGGGGAGCTTGTCTTCGCACAATTTAACCGTTATGTGGGATTGAAAAAATAAAACCTTTGACTCAAAATCCTTTTAAACATTGCTTTTCGAATTGGAGGCTTTAAAACTTGCCAAAGAACAAACAGCTTAATTGAGGTAATCCTTAACAATAACTTTGCATAGAAGCTTCGTGTAATTTTCCAATTTTGCGCTCTTTCATAATCAATCTCCCAGCTAGGAATCCTTAGACTGAAATTTATTCAAATATATATTTTCAGTGTTTTAAAAACTCTGTTACTTTGATCAATATTTTTTCCAACAACAGAAAAATGATTTGGGTGGACTTTATTCGACATGAGAAAAACAACTAATGAATTAAAATGATGAACAGATAAATGAGTTGTTTCCATAAAACAAATGACGGAAATAAAGAGATGATTATATTAACCATGGCTAAGCAATTCAACTTTCATTAGCTTGCAAAAGTAAAAAAAATAAAATTTCATTCTTATTTTTTCCATTTAGAAAACTTTCGAAAACGAATACAAATCTGCTCATTGACGCAAAGCAAGAATGGTTTTTCTCGGCTTAAATTTGCACGAATTCCCTCTGTTCACGATAATCGTTCGAAGAAAAGAGCCGAAGAGGAGCTCTTCAGTTAAACATTTCTTTAATAAACACTCTATAGCGAAGCTCCTGTTTATATAAAGAAAAAAAAAATCAAAAACAAAAATGCACTTTAAGACCATCCCTGATCAAAGTTTTTGAGATATTTAAGGCTCCTTATAAGAGAATTTAAATTGTGTTCATTGCACTGATGAAAAATACATAAAAAAATGCAAACATCAATTAACTCCCTTTGTAGTAGGAATTTCACAGAGAGTTTGATGAGCTCGTCTTTTCTATCGATATGATAGACTCATCTAAAAACGTACGAGTTTCTTGAATTGCCAAATTCATATGAAACACGAAATATTTTCCGTAAATGTTCCGTACCTAAGAAATCTCCAAACTCTCAAATAAACTTGTTTTTATGTTACTGTTTAATTGTAGAAAACGGCGAAGCAATTCACAAATTTTTTGATTACATTGAACGAATCATCGTTTTTCTCAATGGCCGCTTTGTTTGACTCACGTTTTTAACGCATTTGCTACCATAGTTTGCTGAGAATCCGAGAATTTTTGCTAAGAGATTTGTTCTTAGAACTTTTTACTCGAAATTTATTCCTTTTGCGACGGAAAAGTAAGCCTTATAATCACATTTCAATTTGTCTATTTTAGAGCGAGAGCGCGCAATGGTGTTTCCGGACTACTATTTCTTTGCGGAAAGACGTTTGGTAAACCATACCATTGAAAAAAAACGTGTCGATAACTTGGATGACTGTGAGCTCATGTGCTACCTGAACGACAACTGTGTCAGTCTTAACTTCAAAAAAGATTCAGAGGATAACAAACCAGGTCACACCTGTGAACTAAATAACGCCACGCATATGAAATATGACAGTGACTTGACAACTGATGCCAAGTCTTATTATCGTGGCTCGAAGGTGAGTCCCAATCGATTTTTCGAAATTTTCGTCTTGGAATAATATCATAACAATAATTAACGTTTATGCAAAATTGCGTGCACTCGATCATCCGTATTTAGTTGATTCTTCTATTGAATCCCTCCATCCTCTTTTATTACTTTATTTAATTTTTTTCTTCTTCTTTAGAACGCTTGTGACAAGAGTCCCTCCTGCGATAACAACGCAACTTGCCAGTCTGGGTTTACACTCAAGGGATATCGGTGCTTGTGTCCTCCTGGATTCGAGGGAGAACGTTGCGAAATGGGTATGAGTCTATGTCAGTCCTTAAAATGACGTAAATGAGAGACTTTTTCTGATTTTCAACGCTGCTATGACAACTGTCCTTTAGTTGGTGAAATTGGCGTGAATTTACCTCATTGTATATTGTGTTGAATCTTTTCAAAAGAAAACGTCTTGCTGTGTTTTTTTAGTGTGTGTATTGTTTTCTTCGCTCGCTCGCTTATATATATTTTCGTATACTCTTTTTTTAAATCTTGAACGTTCGACGCTTTTCCATGGCAAAGTAAGATTAGTTCGTGTGCTTGTCGTATGCTTCTAGTGGTTTGTATGGTAATTGCTTGTGAAAAATAGCTTGATTGAAAAGTCCCACCAGAGAACCACTTAGAACAATAAAGCTGCATATAATATATATATATATATATATATATATATATAAAGAAGCGAAGGAGTTGCGTTTAAAAGAAGCGTTCTCTTCAATTCTTACCGAGCGTGTGCACGAGATAAAAGCTTCTTTAACTTAAACCATTGGACAAAATTCGTGGGTGGCACAGTACTCTCTAGGGTTGTAGAATTTTGTAATGTTGCCCACTGAGAGACTTTTGACGGTAAAGTAGTAATTGTTAGATTTTAGGAGATGATAGGACGCTTTGCTGGGGAAAATTGTAGCCGTGTAACAACAAATTATGCATCAAATATCTAATTTTGCACTGTGACGCAGCATGCATTCTTAGAGTACAAAATGGATCTCTATAATAGGTAACAAAAAGGAAATGTTTCACTTAACAATGACAACTTTGCTCAATGATTAGATCCCGAAATTATTTTCATCGTCTTGCCATTCAGATGGGTAAATGGCTGATATTTATTACTTCCAGTTTTCGAGGAACGTTCTGCTCATTTCATACTAATCATTGGTGTTAAAAGAGTACGAGTATCACATTTTGTGATATTCAGTTTCCTTTTTTAACTCGTGAATTGCGCGCATGCGCAAGAGCGAGTTATAGATACGATGAGGGGAATGGCATTCGCTCGCTCGATTGGTCGATTCCTGTAAACTTTTTTTAGATTTTAGGCTTTTGAGTGCATTTGATAGTTTTTGGCGAGCAATAAACAGACGAAATGGCGACCTTTGTTGCTAAGAATAGTGGTGGGGTGAAAAAGAAGCCAATGATAATCTTAAAAGAGTTTTTTTTTTCGTTTTAGTTTCAACTAGCGGCGCCAGCGACTGGCAGGCATGCAAGGATTCACACTGAAATAACAGAATAACCTTCGTTTTTCATAAAATTGTAATTTACAATCCTTGAACTTGAAAACAATCCGAAGATTTATTGAAAATATCACTTACTACGAAGCGCTCGGAGTTTACAGATGTTCAAAAGCTTTTTCTGTTATAGCGTGAGATTGAGGACAAAATTGATCATTACGTTTCGTCGCGTGTGTTTTTCCTGTGTGAAGCAACAGAAGATGCCGGCGACTGACGAGATAAAAAGTTAACACGAAAATCAAATAACACCTAAACAAACAATTTTAGCTACCGATTTTCAGTGAATTTTTAAAGAACAATTTTCTTTTAAGTTTGAAGACAATTTGAAGATTCAACATACATACAACGTACTAAAATGCGAAAGTTACACACCATAAAATTGATAAATAGGCCTGAAATGAAATTCTATCTTGTTATTGATTATACGTTGCCTAGCACGTGACTTAAATCTACCCAGGCGGAGATCCAAAATGACGGTGGCAGGCTTGGCTTAGTTATATCACTCAAACCTCGTTCCCGTTTGTCTCATTTGATAGAGGGAATCGTTAATGTTTTCATTAAGACAGTATTGCCTTGATTTTCTAATATTTACAACGAAAGACAGTAAATTTCACTTTTCACCCACATTTACTTCCAACCTTTTCTTTTGAAACAAAAATGATAGACGTTTAAAATTCATGACATCATCCACCTTGCCAAATGTATAGCATGATCATTTCAATTGTAATGCCTTCTTATCCCAATGTTACTTTGTTTCTTTGCTACATTAGCGAACACTGAACTACTGCTCGTACTCTAGATATGGCAATCAACCACAAAATTCCCTAAGCCAGATAACATTAAACATAATCTAAAAAATCATGTGTCAATTCACGAGTTTGCTCACAGAGCACTTTGATCTTCTAGTGGTATTCGTTGTGGTTTGATCTTGACTTACTATGCTTGTTCTCTTTCAGACATTGACGAATGCAACGAGGTTCATTATACTAAAACGAGAGAATGCCATTCGAATGCTTTTTGCATTAATACTCAGGGCTCATATCACTGCTCTTGTAATCCCACATACCTTTGGAATGGTTTTGAATGCGAAGGTACGTCTTGTTTCTAAGCAAACTTATTAACTCAAAGTTAAAGCAGTATTGGATCAAATCTAACCTGTGGCTCCTCAGTTGGCCATTGTCCTCTAACTCAAATTTAGATCGTGCTGAATTAATTTGGATTTCCATTATGACTGTTTTGGCCTCGCCGAGTGATGATATCCTACACATGGACTACCTGATCTTTTACTATAGATGCATAGTCAATGTTCTTGTACATAACAAGCTCCACTACTGATTGGCAAGCTGGCAGAATTATAAGACGTTGCAAAAAATCTTAAACCCTTTGATTCTAATGACTAAACCACTGGTGCAATTATTACTTGACTTTACAGCCGATCTCTGCTATCATTATAAAAACCTGAGTGATGCCAATAGAAATATAAGTTACATAACACCTGACAGTTCAGGGCTGTGTGACAAACAACTCCCTGTGGGATGGTATCGTTTTGTGGGAGCTGCAGGAACAAAAATGCCAACAACGCGTGTGCCAGCATACAGATGTGGTGCAGTCTACTCAGGCTGGTTGGATGATGCTCATCCTACAGTGGAAGATGGTAAAGTTCAAAGGAAGGTCTGCTTTAGTCATCTTAACACCGGTTGCAAATATAGAATCAGCATTTCAGTGAAAAATTGTGGATCCTACTTCATCTACAAACTTCTCCCTCCTAATTGTAACTCACGCTACTGTGGAACAGACTGAATGCAAAGCAAAAAAATTAATGAGTCATGAATTGATCCTCAGGTACACGTACTTCAGGGATTTTGCGAATTCCTCTTTTCATAATAATCACTAATTTCTTCTCTAGTTTTCGTACCTTGGCGATGTTCTGTTAACTTTTGCAAACAAAAATGAATTTAACATTTTACGAAGCATCTCTTTCTAAATAATCACAGATAATTAATTGCTGCTAAAAGAACTTATAACAAATGAAATGAAATTAAAATTTAAAATTGAGAAATCTTAGGCAAGCTGTAGGAATATCAATTAGCATGATAACTAGCAAAAGATGACGAATTCTGTTTTCAAAACGTTAGAAGCTGCAATACAGGTCGCAGTTTGTTTAAAAAAATTAGATGACGCTTCTGTTAGTGCTAATGATGTGTTCAATCTGATAGTTGCTTTAAAAACAAAGCAACACGATTATCTAAGGACTAGTGTGGGTAAATACTGTTTAGTTTGAGGCGGTAAGGTATGGTATTAGAGTTTAACTGGTTTTCGTCGTTTCACTCTATCATGAAAGAGTTCCCATGGTGAAGATTTTTAAAAGAAATATGTTGCCCCTGTTCCAATCCAATGAAACCAATAATCACGACGTGGAAAGAAATCCCAAATGCCAGTGTTAAGTATTTTGGGTTTCGGTTAGGGTACGGTTTAAGGTTTAGATGCTGCAAACGATTCCCCAGTCAAGTATTATCTTCTATGCACGAGAAGAAATTTAAACGCGTAGCAATTGAGATAAACTCTTATTAACACTATTTCTTTAGAAACCTATAAACAAATTTAACGTAAATCACAGATTGTTTACTCGGTTGAATAATTTTGTTGGTTAGCTTTTTAAGCTGTGTAGATATGTAGAGCAGAATAATGAAATAAATCACATGTTTTAGAGAAGTTGTACAACTCTTAATAAATACATTTATCTTATCTGGGGTATTTTCAACTGATATGTAACTATTGATATATATGGTCCATATTTTTCACTATTTACATTCCTGAGTGACATTGGCTGTCATGATCGTAAACTAGAGTTAATAGAGGAATAGGAATAAGTCATGACTTTTAACACTCAGCTGAAAACTGTTCACCATGTAGTGCGCACATGTAGAAGATTTCGCGGTAAGGATCTCTTAATATAACTTTACGTACTCCTAGACTTATTTACAAGGCAATTGTCATAAGACAAGCAATGCTAGTTTTCAAATTCTATTAATTACTTAATGGTACCTATGTCTATTGCTGATGGTAGTTAGGGGTTGGCGATGCAGTTAACAATGCAGGTAACAGAAACGGAGGCGAGGAGGAAGGAATTCGCAGTGAAAAAAAAAATCAGAGTGGCCATTGCTCTTTTCAGGAGCTTAAAAAAATTACGTTTATTACTTGCAATCTTCTGTAACCACCCTGTTCCCATGTTCCCATCAGGTTGTTGATGAAAAAACTGCGAAATTGCTTATCGTTCTAAGCGTCCCGTCACCAAATAAAAGTTTATATTACCAAATATACACATTAGATGAAATAATGCTTTGCTTATGTTTGCTTAAGGTTAGTGTTATGTTTGATTCCGAGCGAGACGTGACGTTCATTGGTAGGCCTTGATATCCCTTTTGACTTTTATTTCGTTTCTAAACTCTCTACCAACGAGGGATTTTTTTTTCAATTTTTGATCAAAATAAGTGAGTTGTGCGCGGTTCAAGTTGTTGATTAGGTGCATTTAATTGGTGAATTTGGAAAATTTGTGGCAGAAAATATTTTGTTTTGAAGGTGTGACCATGGGAATAACATTTCACGCCGTAACTATATATGCTAGTAATGATACTGTGATCACATAGGAATAACATATGTGGCTTCGCCTCCTATAGAAGGTAGTAGCCACACAAATGGCGATTAGAAATCACGAGTGGAAAGCGTGATCACAGACTGGATATTAGATGTGATCACGGCCTGGGAAGCCTGTGATGATAGCGTGATCACA